GTTCCAGTGATCGTTTCTTCTTCTTCCGAACTGCTTCCTGGAACTCGGATATTCTCCTGTATTGGACAACTGTCATCGTCCCACACAACACACAGTCGACTCTCTCAGGCCTGGCTGGACGCAGTAAGGACCAGTCCTGGCTTCGCCAGTGGTCACTGCCACCTGAGACAGCAGTAGGGCGTTATTTTTTCAATGAACCCCGTCATTCTAGTGACTCTTGCCTTTCTCCCTCCAACCTGGGATTTGACCTGATGCTTGTAGTGATCTAGGCACAACCACGACTTAGACCCCTACGGACCCTCTACGTCGTGTGCGTGTGGATGTGGATGCAGTTACTGAGCGATGCCTAAATGTTTTTTTACCAGTCAACCCGCAAATCCACCGGTCACTTCATGACAGATCAAAGTTCCGACGCGAATTTCAACTAAGATTAAGAAGACGGGAATTACAATTTCTGTCTTCTTAGTTCTTAGTAAATGGCTAAACCAGACCGCAGGTCTGGCCCCCCGCGATTCTTATCCGAGATATCTAGTTATTAAGTCATAAGAATCAAAATGAACGCACGGACCGGCTGTCCTCTTTGGGTAGTTGGTGTAGTTAAACCATACACCAATCAGATAAAGGAACTTCTTGTCCATTTTGTCTTCGAGTTCAATCTAGTGCTCTCGCACATAGTGATTACTGGTGATAAAAATAAGTACCAAGGATAACGAGGGAGACGATATGGTGATTTCTGCTTTATCTACCTTGGCCAACCAGCCACGAACGAGACAGTTCGACTGTTGTTTGCGACGAGGTCCACCGTGGGCTCGACAGCAGGAACGGTGCAAGGACGTGGACTCGCAAAGAATTATAGCCAAAGTAGACTTGTGATGCATCTATCTCACTCTCTATTCCGCTCCCACCCCTTCCAGCTTAACCCAGTGTCAAAACAGAGTCAAGATGATCGGAAATGGCGCAGGCCCACGCATTTAAGGCCACAACAAACAAGAATTCCACAGTAAATTGGGGCCCGTTCGGAGTCAAGTTAAGCGGGATATTCACAAAAGCAACATTAATAAGCCCAACAGTCCACCATTCCACACAAACACACTGGGCGGTCCGAGTAATCCTATCAGTCCACAACTTTCCAAGTCATGGCTTTTAACATGCGGTGATAACCACAAGCTCGTCAGATCATTTATAGTTCGGAATGTGCGCTGAGAGGTCGGCCTCATTCTATCCCAACAGGCGTGGTGGTTGAAAGAGTCGGCGAACCCATCAGCGCGCGCCATAGTACGAGTTGGCCACTCTGACGCACGAACCAGGATTACCGAAAACTGCCACCGTCTGACTGCATCCACTGGTCAGACTTTTTCACACATAGCACATACTGGGATAACGATTTGGTCTGGTATAAAGAGTCAGTTAGCAGCCTTTCAAACCACTGTTTTTAGAAAACCATCAGGATCTTTAGCACCAGGATCGGATCGTGCATGCAGCGGAGGAGACACATGAAGAAAAGGCCAAGAATGATAATTGCCTCCCAATTAGAGGTGCGGGCTGAAAACACGTTTTGTGTGGTTTTATGTGATTAAAGGGGAGAGATGTGGTAATATAAATATAGCCGGTGGTTTGCACCCCGCAGGTTAACTGTTACCTGCGGTACCAGAAGAGGTAAATATTCACTCATAGCCAGACAAAAACTCGTTTTGACTAGACGCTCTTATAAGGGAAGGGACATCAAAATAAGATTGAAAATGCGGGCAACTTTCCTTTGCTTTGAGTCTAGAAACATAAAGCATAAAGTATAGTGAAACTTGACAGCA